CAGTAGATCTATGTATACATATACATAGATCCAATTTAGAAGAATTGGCAAGAAACTCAATTGAATTACTTAATACGAATATTTTTATGGTAAATAAATGTATTTACCTGTCGACATTGACATTCGGCTCGCTACTCCATGTAACTTCTTCACACCCGTTTAACTATATTAATTTTTACTTTTCACAATGCGATGAGTGGGGTGGACTTTTACTTTTTCTGTTTTAGCTCTCTCTGCCATCAATTGTCTGTGTAATAGTTAGCGAGACGAAATATTTGCAAATCATCTAACATAGCCTTTGTAACCACAAAGGGACGTAACAATACTACAGTAAGGTGGTCTTGGTTACTCCTCACTCCGCCTACAGATGATATTAACGCGGCGTGCGATACAAAATTAACTGTTTAATTAATTGTAATCACGTTAGCAGTTTACTTTAAGAGTAGGATGTTCTACCTCTAAACAAAACATAGTTGATGTACAATATAAACTTTTAACAAATGTGTCTTTTTATTTTTTTGTATTTAGTATATAATTCCACTAAATTCGTAACCTGTTCCTAATTTATTCACCTGTCTATAAAATAACAAAAAATTTAGTGATTGAAATTAAAATAACTATATTTTATCTATGGAATATGAATATGTAATTAAATATTTCATTGTTAAAACAGGAAAGTATAAGCAAATATTTAGGAATTACTACTACTACTAAGAGAAAGTGCTCGTAAGAAGTGAAGTTTCTCTATTTTACTTGATATCTTGGCAAAAATGAACCATTGTTTCTGTTTATTATCTAGATCATTGTCGATTTCATTTATAATTTAGGATATATATGAGTTAAGTTGCATTTAGGTACATCCAGTAGTTATTTTCATAATATTAGCCATCATTATCCTCATAAACTTTATCGTCTATATTATTAAGAGGATGAAATGGATGATAATGGATGGCTTAGAATAAAATACAAGTTTACATTGAGAGACATTTTCAAATTATATACCTGTTTTTTTCTTACAATCGTTGAATACCGTTAATCTTAAGTTTGAACCATACTGTAACAAAGGAAGGAAGGGAGGCAAATAAAATTACATTCTAAATATCAACAACTTTAATGATCGGATATATACAAGAACAATATACATACAAGAATTAACAAAATTACTCGGATGTTGCGAGCACTCGAGACGCAGTACTGAGGTATGACAACGTGCATCAGCAGCCAATGATAACATACAAGCTAAAGTAATATTTATCATCATAGCGATACGGTTTACTATCCCCGTTGGGGGCTCTACTGACGCCGAACTATAGCGGGGCGTCGTGTACAAACTTACAAATAACGAATATTCTTTCGATTGTCAACATATTCGTTGTAATCACAAAACAAACTGACATTTAAAACTATTACAAACTAGAAAATTTAATAACAACTAGGGCTATATATAATTTTGACACAATTTTGTTAAACGAGGTGTACACTATCAATATTTATATACATAACGTGGTAGCGCGCTATAAACACGGCAGATACGTGTTGAGGCATTTAGTCCTATAGAAATTATATTACATAATTGAAATAATAGATAATTGTCTTATATCGTAAGTACAGCCGGATATTACGGCTAGGCGTCGTCATTCCTGAGGATGTTACCCTTTGTATCCTGTGCTGTCACTGCCATATATATCCCAACCTTCATTGAGAGCACTGCAAAGTAAGCTGCTTAGTTGCAGAATTAGACAAGACTCATGTATCACGCAAACAAGTTTATACAGTTTGCTTCTATAAATCTAACATGAAATGCTTCTACTAGTCCCCTACTGTCTAAAAGTCCTTTTCAAGCGAAATGCAATAAATATCGATAGCGTAATTCTTCTGTAAATAAACTAAATGTACTTATAAATAACACAAAGGCCTCAGTAACTCCAAATTGCACACGAAAACTATAATAAAATCAGATTTATAACTTCTAACCATACCACAATAAGGACATTTGAATAATGAAGTTCGTTATATACAAAGCGTCAATTTACCAAATATAAACTTGTAACTTAGTACAGGACAGATGCTAGCGCGATGACAAAAAGAAAAGAACATCTCATCATGAGACAAATCATAGCGTCTGTGTCCCTCTCATTTATTAACAACTGATAAATAATACTTTTTTTTATTCTCTATCTCAGACCCATTGTACATCGTAACTTTAATTAATCTACAGGTACGTAATGGACGGTGAGGATGAAGCAGTTATATGAGAAAAATGTACTAATCATGCTATATAAATAGCCACCCCAAGTATAAAAATTCATAATTATTATGAACATGTGAATACGAGTGAAGTAATATTTCGCCGATTTATAAGCCGTCTTCCACATTCCACCATAATTTAGGCCATACAAACGTTCAACGTCGTGTGACAAGTATTACTGCTTAATTAATAAGGGGAGCAATTTATAATGCACGTATAATACATCGGTTACTTATATTGCAGACACAATCTGCGTAATTTGTCAACAATTAAGAAAATATATATCTTCAGCATAATACAATAATTTAACTATTCATTGTACAGATAGCATCATATCGTTATAAGATACAATATTTCTATTTATATATAGCATTACTGTATATTGTCTGAATTGCTCATTTTATTAAAATTTAATTGTACTATTAGAGAAGTTTATAGATGAAAACAGTGGTATAACAGTAGGCATAAGAAGAATTTAACATTTATATCTGTATCTATCTGTAGCAACACAGTTTCTACACGTGCCACCATCCACTTCCTAGAATCCTTATCGCACGGCACGTGTAACATTAGAAAAGCAGCTGCGCAACCTTCTAGCCGTTGTTACCTGCAGCTGCGCCTAAAAACGAAAACGTAAAATCGTATATGAAGATCGTATACGAATATGGAAGGTCACGGTGGCACGTGTAGAAACTGTGTTGCTACAGATTCAAAAAACTATAGTCTGAAGCCCCAACTGACGAACTTGACACGGGCCTCATAGGGTACAGCTACACCACTAATGAAAACTAGATATTTTATATATAAAAAAATACAGTTAAACACACACAGATATATGAAAATTAAGCGGCGTCATAGCTAAAATACTCTCCGCGATATTTATTATTACAATATCCAAAATAATATTTATTACACTATATACTTTACTATGCTATTTCCATTGATCATTAAAGCTTTTGTTTCTATATAAATTTGATATAGGAACTCTGAATTGAAATATTCTGTGAGTCTATTGAGACCTACTGTGCATAATTTAGGGTTAAAATTTTACACATACCGCTTCTAGGTAATTGCTTTTGCTATATTTTTATTCCATATCTGTGGTGTAAATATTCAATGAAATGTGTATCGCCTCATTCCCATTGCCTTTACGTTCAGAATCTGAGTTCATTGATCGTTGCTACATGTTACTGTTGTATTTGTGTCGTCTAGGCGTAAAGAACATCGTTATTTGGTATGGAGTATCCGAAGTTAGTCTAATATCGTTTATAGCTCTAATTCTATATAAAAAAATAATATAATAATAATTTAATGTTATACTCTACACTGACATCGTCAACCGTGTTAACAGACAAAGTAAATTTACATATTCACAGCCGTGGCAACACCCATTGGACATCTGTTGAATTGACGACTAATATTTACACACCCAAACTTTATGTTATTGGCAACACACAAAGAGTTGGCTCGAATGTTGGACGCTACGTGCGCTATATGTATGAGGCCTGCTGAAACTTGGTCCAACATTCGACGGGGCGTTTACACTGACCGAACATTTGCCATACAATAATTTTTCTTCGAAGTGAAAGTTAGCGCGATCGGGCAATGTAAAAGTCTATATATATTCTTATAGATTACATAATAAAAATAAGCCTGACTATAAATAATGTCGATTTTTGGGCGAGGAATATCAAATGCAAAAAAGCATATTTTTTACGCCAGTTTTAATTTCAAAAACTTTTCCAAAAAAACATTTCATATACCATATCTTTGTTATTATCAGTTTTGCTTGCAAAGTCCTCAAATAATGGATGTAATTAATCCAAAATTTCATTATCACAGTAAATAATAAATTATGCAGCAAATAGTCGATTGTCTGTTCTTTCACTTCATGGATCAGATCTTCGTAATAATTCATTTTTAATTTTAGTTCTATCAAATACATCTTTATACGATGGAATGAAAATTACTCCAATAATCAAATACAGATTTATTTCCTCGGTGTCAGATATATTTTAAAACACTATTTAACACTACTACCTTGTCTATACAATTTCATAGTCAGGCTTGTTACACGTCCCTCTATATCCACTCTTACTCTGAGTAAATTTAGAAAGATACAATAATAATAGTGTAAATGGGAGATTTCTCAATGACTACAACATATCAATTTACAAATAAAGTAAACTAAATTATACAAAACATAAACCTGTTGTTCTTTATCTAAACAAATAAAATATCTAAGTATTTTGACAAATATCATTTTAACTCATCCACAGAAAACCAAAAAAACCTAGAGGAGCTTCGATGCTGACAATGATTTTATATGGTGAAGAGAGAGATCAAGTTTTAAATTAAATAATATAGTATAAGAACTATTCACTAGTAAATTTCTCTACAGTTAACACACATTAAAACTTCCGTGCATTTCGTATGCACCATTTACTGTAGGTTGTCATTTATAATTACCGTTTGGTTATTATGCCCACAGATAAAAAAATATACCGCTATATCCGCAATACGCTTATGTTATTTATATAAGCATCCAAGCACTAACGATGCAACCATTTTTACAAAATAGGTTGAAAACGGTTGCATAATATATTTTTATTTTATATCGATATCAAACGCCTGTATCTCAATAGTAAGGATGTTTAATTTATTTTAAACACTCGTACTGTAGCGTCAAGCGAAGAGATAACAAGGCAACGATAACATATTTGATATAAAACAAAACAGTTCTAAACGTATATTAGCGGCGGGCACGCTGCGTGAACATTCCAGAACATTCCAGAAGCGGTTATAACAACTATAAGGCCATCGGTCGATATCACCTGCAGGTATGGTTGCGTGCACAGGGCGGGTCCCGAGTGCGCGCGGCGGGCGGGGGACGCACTCAGAGCGAGTCTCTGTGCCACACCCACGTGCGCTTGGTGTGGTCGAACCGGTGCGCGAGCCACTGCGCCTGCAGCAGCTCCAGCCGGTCCTGGCTCAGGTACAGAGGCTTGCCACGTCTGCAATCATTCCATTATTACTATAATGCATTTACGAGTTTATTTTCGGTATGATCTTTGAACCGACAGTAACAGTACCCTGTATTTTGTTTTTATATGCAAATGTAGGTCATAAATAGGATAACTGAAGTCGTCTTCTAAGAATTTTTCAGTATATTTTTAAACAAGTTATTAAACTTGGAAAGTCTAACGGCCGCATTCAGAGACTTTCCATAAGCTATCGCTAATAATGATTAAATTGAGTATCATTAAATCTGTTAATGAGTTTTTCTCCTAGACAAATATAACGACCGCATTCAGAGACGTTCCAAAAACTATCGCTAATAACTATTTCGTTGAGTATCATTAAATGAGCCATTCCACTCAGAATCAAAAGACAGCTGAAAATTATTATTTTGCTTGAGTGATTCTCCGCACTGAGCTATGAGCAATTTTGTATTGATGTGACACACCCATGCAGGTTTACCTATATTTAATTATATTGGTTAGAAATATTCTGTAAATATATACTTGTACTTAAACAAATTCAAATTTTTATCTGTCTATATTTCTAAAGGAGGATTTTAATGAATCACTAAACGTCTCTTATAGCAACGGTATGCTGTACAAATACAATTTTTTTCATCATTATAATGTACGACTTCGCATCGATAATCTTTCGAAAGACACCAATTAGAAAAAATAAAGCATATACAGACTTGAGATCCCGATCCTCCTCGTCGTAGTCGTCGAGGTAGAGGCTGCCCCAGAGGCAGGCGCGTCGTCCGCGGATGACCACGATGTAGGTGGACGTCACCACCAGGAAGATGCCCGTGCCGCCACCACACTCCATCGCGTGCTGACCAAACACGACCACAATATTTACATACTTATATATGCTTTTACACGTACGCTCTTTCACGCAGGGAGAGGTCGGTGCCGATCACTCTCTTATTCACTCTTACTTTATTCGAGGCCTACAATAAATATTACTCTGATACTCAATCTTTTTCTCTCTCTCTCGCTCTTACATCATTCGAGGCACACACATTATAGTATTAAAAAATAGATGCCTTAACACGTGCCTTTATGCGCATGCCTCGGTCTTTCAATTGTGCGTGCTATTGCGTTTTTTTTATAACGATTAATTATCATTGCAAAATGACGGACACGTGAGTATGGAGCACAGATATGTTTATAATTTATAATTTTCACATGCGCTGGTCGCGCGTGAAAGAACGTGTCGTGTAAAGATAGCTAATCTCAGTTTCAGAAGTAGTTTAGAATCTATATTCCTTTTATTTTTTTACCTATTCCTACTAATATTATAAATGTGAAACTATGGTTGTCTGTCTCGCCTTCACGGCAAAACTACTAAAACGATTTAAATGAAATTTAGTACACAGATTGTCTAGATTTTGAGATGGGACATAGGAATTTTTAATACAATAAAACTTGTATGGAAGTACCGTTATTTGAATAGTCTAGTTCACGTTGAGTATCACAAATAAGTTTCTACGTATGATCTTACATTATCGTAAAGATCTTGGTAAAAATTTAAGTTTATAAGATACTTGTGTGTGCGCGTACCTGCACGGCCTCGGCGACGTCCTGCCGGCGGCAGCAGGGCTGCTTGAGGCAGACGAGCGTCCCGCACAGCAGGCACACGGAGGCCTCCTTGGGCACGGCGCCGCACTGCAGGCACACGCGCTCGTGGTAGTACGAGAACAGCCGGTCGTAGTCGCGCGGCAGCGCCAGCAGCGCCGGGCCCGCCCACCGCGACCACGCGCTGCGCAGCAGGCGCCGCACCTGCGCACCGCACCACGCGCTCGGTAACTCGCACCTCGCAACTACGCTCGCCCGCGTACTCGCCAAGAGCTGGCTACGTACTCAACACGAGCTAACGACGTACTCACCATGATATGGCTACGTACTCATCACGAATTAACTATGTATTCACCACGACCTACCTACTTAGTCACCATAATCTGTCTACGTACTTACCACGCACTGCCTACGTGCTCACCACGCACTGTCTACGTGCTCACCACGCACTGCCTAAGTGCTCACCACGCACTGCCTACGCGCTCACCACGCACTGCCTACGCGCTCACCACGCACTGCCTACGCGCTCACCACGCACTGGCTACGTGTTCACCACGCACCATCCGCGTACTCACCACGAGCTGGCCGCGCGCGGCGGCAGCAGCGAGCGCGCGCGCCCAGGCCCGCGGCGCGGGGGCGGCGGGCGCGGCGTGCGGCGGCAGGCAGCGGCCGGCGCCGCGGAGGCGGGCGTCGGGGGCGAGCTGCAGGTAGTGCGCCAGCCGCGCGAACTCCTGCGACGGCCCGCCCTCGCCCTCGGGCAGCGCGCCGCCGTACATGTGGTGCCGCAGCAGCGCTGAGATGCGCAGGAACGGCAACAGCAGCTCTTGCAACTGCGGATAGTTGTAACAATTAAAATTACAACTTTTTTTTTTTAAAGAGAGAGGATATGAAGGAAGAGACAAAATATTGTTTTGTCAAAAACGGTAGCAGTTCTCGCAGCTGTAGATTGGAGTAACAATCTAAAACATTACTTTTCTTTAAAAAATAAGAGAGGATTGAGAAGAAAAGACGAGATAATATTTTGTATTGCAAAATGCAACTATCGGCTATACCTAGTCTAAATATAAGTTTTATTACAAATGAAAATATGCTTGGAATATGACTAACACAAGAAAATCGCTGCAATCCTATTTTCTTGAACACGAAAAAATATGTTAAATGATGCAAAAAGGAAAGAAATTTTTAAAATAATATGTGTTCCAAATTCATAATAATGATAAAGTTGATAAAAAAGAAAAGTTATGTATGACGTCACGGGCTGCGTACCTGCGCCTCGAGTGCGGCGTGGTGCAGTGCGGGCGCGCGCCGCTGCGGGGGCCCGTCCTCCGTGAAGAGGTCGGAGTGTGCCAGGGCGGACAGCAGCACGCGCGCCGCGCCGCGCACCACGCTCTCTCCCGCCGCGCCCCCCTCACTGTCCGCGCCCCCCGCACCCCCCGCGCCCCCCGCGCCCCCCGCACCGCCCGCCAGCGCCGCGCGGCCCTCCGCGGTGGTGCTCGCGATGAACTGGCACACCACTTGGTAGTAGCTCAACGCGTACAGCGCGCTCACAATGCAGTTGAAGTGTTCTGCCGGGCCGATCAACAATTTATGGTAAGTTACCATATGTGCAAACAGAAAATATCTGTAAGAACAATCGTACATGTATGCTTACTATGCAATACACAATTGCCGACACATACAATTTCACATTATAATGAAGTGTTCAAAGTAGCATTCAATCAAGGCAGTTTTATTTCGCAACAACCAATCAATCAACTACTATCATTATCACAAAACTCTGGGCTTAAACCTTTCCTCCACATTTTTGGTCCATTGAGCCGGATAATATCTTCATACGAAGATAAATTTGAGTAGTTCATTCATATTGAAAAATTATGGATATGCAAGTAAAATTTATAATTACGAAACTAATCTTACCAGTAATAAGCAATAAAGAAATCACCTCACAGTAGATAATACAAAAATACATAATTTAACTTAAAAGCAATGAGTTTTAAATGGCAAGTTTATATATAGTGGGGTGTGTACTGACGTATGTCCATGTGGGGCGGGCTGTCGGGCGCGAGCAGCACGAACTGCATGAGCAGCGCGAGCGGGTCCCGCAGCAGCAGCGGCACGGGGCGCGCGTCCGCCGCCGCCGCCACCGCCGCCGCCACGGGCGGGCCCGCGCCGCCCTCCGCGCCCGGCCCGGGCCCCGCCAGCCCGCAGGCCGCCAGCTCGCGCCACGTGTCCGCGGCGCCCAGCCCCGCGCCCGCCTCGCGTAGCACGCGCACGTGCGCGCCGGCCACGGACATCAGCGGCACTGTGTACCAACAAATCATTACTTATACAGGCATATTGAGAACTTCAAATGCTCAGTAGATTTAGCGCTGGTGATAGGTCGCACTAGATCATTGAGAATTTTGAGGATGATACGGAAAATATTAATACAAAATATTTGATGTTTATAAATGGCTAAAATCTTACTACCTACATACTGCCTACATGCATAAATGATGCATTCGGTCGAGGAACATAGAACGTGCCGGTTGTATTTTGGATACTGAAGTGAATTGTATTAGAGACGGATTTATGCTGGATTTAGTTGGGCCTGGGGGGAAGCTGCAAGTAGTAAAGGTAAGTTTTAATGAATTCTAAAAGGGTCTTTTAAACCTACACCCGTGTCACGAGTCACGGGCGCTACTCGAGGTTCCTCTTGTAGGGATGAACATACTTAATACGTATATTCATAAGTAAGTAAGTAGTAAGTAAGATACAAAAGGCGGTCTTATCGCATCCTCTGTCCAATTCAAACGGGGATCGATATTACGACGGCCTGAGCCGAAGTTCGAAACCCTAGTGGTGCCCTCAGACTAAAGTCGTATCCGTCAAGCAGAAGTTGGCCTACAGCCGTTCCATAAGTCCTTCCGCGGGTTTGGAGTGCCATCTGCACTCGCCCCCTAACGTTCGGTGAAGCTGTAAAAGCCAGCTGCGGCCAACAGCATTAAAGTAATCCGAAAAAAAAAGCAATCTCTTCCAGGCCACCAGTAGACAGTAGAAAGTAACATTAAGATGAGAAACGATGGTGCTGGGCTTCCGGTAGCCGACATCAAAGCCTAAGTCGTCATCATAACTAGTGGTTTAGACAAAAATAGAAGTGTCTCACGTATGCAGTCCCCGCGCGGCTTGTACCGGGCGCGGGCGGCGAGCGCCCCGCCGCGCTGCACCAGCTCGCACTCGAGGTTGGTGCGCACCAGCGACGCCACGAACGTGAAGATGCCGGCCGGGGACACGCCGTACCGCTGCCGCAGCTTGTTGCTCGCCATCGCCGTCAGCTCCTTCATCGCCTTGCCCATCGCCTCCGACAGCCGCGACGAACTCTGCGGCACGACACGACACGACACGGATGACCCTCACGGTAAATAATTAACAGAACATGTATAAACACAATGAACGAGAATTACAAACGAGCTCTACGACACTACAACGACGACGTCGCTCACAGCAAAGAAATACAGAAGAAATTACCAAAAAATGCATCAACACAATGAACAACAAAAATAAACGTAGAAGTTTGTGATTGGATAAATTGATGTACTTATGTTCGTTACTATTCCACGCAAAAACTACTGAATGGATTTTAGTTTATATATCAAAATAATAGTAACAGTAACTGTGGGCTGTAGATCCATAGGTCGCTGGTTCTGATCCGGCTCGAAGGACTACTGATAAATAATAATAAAAACTAACTACACTAATAACTGTAACTGGATATTAGAACTGATGATAAAAACTTTGCGCGGAGGCAATATCTTAACCGATGAGGTTAATCCGAGATGCGATTATTGCTAGTTAAGAACTGATAATAAACTGATTAATGATAAATGAGTATGACCAGTATTGTTGATTACCAAATGCGAACTGATTTTTGGTCAAATATGAAATGTTAACGTTACGAAATAATGTATGATTCTAGTGCGAACGAACACATAGATTGAAAATTTGACGTGGGTGAAACCGCGGGCACAATGAGTAATACATAATGTGTCATACCGGCGCGGGCCTGTCCTGGTGCAGCATGTCGAGGAGGTTGTGTCGGGGCGCGGCGCGGGGCGCGCGGGGCGCGGGGCGCGGCGCGGGCGCCAGCGGCAGCACGGAGTTGGCCAGCTGGCGGCACACCGGGCACAGGAACTCGCCGCGCTCCACGTGCAGGTTGTGAGGACGCTGCGGCGCCGCCAGCGAGCGCAGGTACAGCTGCAGGCAGCGCAGGTGCAGGTGGTGGCCGCACGTCTGCACGTGCACGCCGCCCTCCCACCCCACCGACACGCTCAGCAGCCACGACTCCTGCGCGGAGACCACTCGTTACCTCACCATATCACAAGTTACTACGCGCCTTCCATGACACGGGGATCGATATCAGGACCTGAGCCGCTCCATAAGTCGATCCACGGGTTTGAGTCACGACTCCTGCGCACGTTGGGGATCACCAGTTACCACATACAACCGTGCTACTCGCTCCTCCGATTGAAACGGGAATCGATATTCAGCAGACGTTGTCGTTCCGTAAGTCCTTCCGCAGGTTTGAGAGCTATCTGCACAGATAGTAGTAGGGTACAGATAGTACACCAAATGACTTTACAGTTTCACCGAACGATAGAGGGCGAGTGCCATTTACTGTTGAAGCTGCGACCAACAGCATTAGAGTAGTAAAAAAAAAACACATTGTATGCTAATCAATTTGCATTTGTACTATTATTTGCTACTTAAATTGTAATAAACAAATGTTTATCTGTTAAACATACAAACATTTGTATTTATGAGTATAATTGTTGGTCTGGTTGTTTTCTACGTATATTATATACGTATAAACAAAAATTACACGTATATAATATACGTAGAAATAAATTAATTAATATACATATGTAGAGAGTGTGTTAGAAATAATGTGAGTGTAGACAGCGACAGCCCCCCCCGAGACAGAGATAGAGCGAGCGTACCTTGTCGAAGTGTTCCCCGAGGTCGTCGTGCATGCGGTAGTGGTGTGCGGCGGCGGTGGGACTGTGCGTATGAGAGACAGAGATAGAGCGAGCGTACCTTGTCGAAGTGTTCCCCGAGGTCGTCGTGCATGCGGTAGTGGTGTGCGGCGGCGGTGGGACTGTGCGTATGAGAGACAGAGATAGAGCGAGCGTACCTGGTCGAAGTGTTCCCCGAGGTCGTCGTGCATGCGGTAGTGGTGTGCGGCGGCGGTCCGACAGCGGCAGCCGTTCGCGTCGTGCATGCGCCCCCGCGCCCCCTTGTCGAAGTGTTCCCCGCCGCGCGGCGGCGGTGGGACTGTGCGTATGAGAGACAGAGATAGAGCGAGCGTACCTTGTCGAAGTGTTCCCCGAGGTCGTCGTGCATGCGGTAGTGGTGTGCGGCGGCGGTGGTCTCTCGCTGCAGCGCCAGCCGCGCGCGCTCCGCCTCCGACAGCGGCAGCCGCGCCCCCGCCCCCGCCCCCGCGCCCGCGCCCCCCGCCGCTCCCGCGCCCGCGGCCGGCATGGCTGCCGCGCCCCCCGCGCTCTCCCCGCCGTCCCCGCCCTCCGCCTCCACGCGCCGCCTGTGCCCCAGCACTGACGTCGACTGAAACACCACACGATCACTTCACGATTAGCTGCTTTTACACTTATGCTGTTTTATGAGGGAATCGACATTCGCACTGGAAAGAATGTACACGTACATGGATACAAAGAGAACAAGAAAGACCGCGCGCGCAAACAGTGAGCGCGTACCCGCGTTCTACAATTGTGAATATTTTAGCGCCTTTTTATAATAATTAATTACGTTTAAAAAATGAAGGACATCTGACTATGGAGAACGGACAGACATATAGAACTATTGACAATTTATAAATCTTAAATGTTTGGAAAATAAGATCTGTAGAATTGTCAACAAAATTTTAAAGTGAAATGATTACGAACGAAAGGGTGATCACAAAAATATGCGCTAACTTTTTCGCGCTAAAGACAGCTATTACACCGTTGCAACCATCGTGAATAGTTCAATGAAGTTGAAGAATGGTAAAAAACCTATAACATACTTCAATTAATATGATAACTGAATAAGAATAAAATTTGTTGATACTTTTTCCATAGCATAAATACATCTATGTAACATAAGGACAACTAAAGAAATTCTTCAATTAAACATCTTGCGGATGAATATGCCCTGTTTTAAATAGACTCATTGATTAATAGAAGGATAATGGATAGTAATGAGGATGCCCTACCTGCAGCAGCACGACGAGACCTATAGGGTCAGCGGCGGTGGTGGGCGCGGTGGTGTTGCAGATGACGCAGTCGTAGTCCTTCTCCAGGTCGTCCTCGTCCCAGTCCATGGCGGCGTCGCTGCCGTCCACCTGCATCGCCGACATGAACTGCTGCTGGCGCCGCGCGAACTCGCGCATCAACTGCTGCTGACGCTCGCGCGCGCGACGGGAACGCTCCTCCTTCTCTTGACGCTCTCTGCGATCATACACATCATTGTCATCTTAATTATATTTTTTTTTATTAACTAGAGTCCAGGGTTACTAACGATTATTTAACTATATAAGTAAAATAGGCAATACCTTAGTGTCGTAGCTTCGTTTCGGTTTAAGTCCTCTTGTAAATCACTGTACAATATAACTTAGACCGAAGTGAATTTGAATTTGGAAGACATCAAAATCAGCGGGCGTACCTGGGGGACGAGGGCGTACCTGGCGAGATGGGACCAGACCTGATGGACGGGGACGTACCTGGCGCGCTGCTCGGCCTGCCGCTCGCGCTGGTGCGGCCACAGCGAGTGGCGCACGTGGTCGCGGTGGGCCGGGGACGTACCTGGCGCGCTGCTCGGCCTGCCGCTCGCGCTGGTGCGGCCACAGCGAGTGGCGCACGTGGTCGCGGTGGGCCGGGGACGTACCTGGCGCGCTGCTCGGCCTGCCGCTCGCGCTGGTGCGGCCACAGCGAGTGGCGCACGTGGTCGCGGTGGGCCGGGGACGTACCTGGCGCGCTGCTCGGCCTGCCGCTCGCGCTGGTGCGGCCACAGCGAGTGGCGCACGTGTTCGATGGCGGTGGCACACCGCGCGTCCAGCCGCGCCAGCTTGCGCAGCACGCCGCCGATGAAGTGAGGGCCGTCGCCTAGGAACATGCAACAAAACATTACACTAACATTCTGCACTACGGATATACGATAGACCTGGATTACTCCAGGTATTATACGCTGTATAAAACACAGAGATAAGCTTCATCAACAGGCTACCAGGAATCCACAAAACTTAATAATACAAACAACGTACAAAAGATATCGTAATTTTTGCAATAACCTTTTACATAGATTGAAATCGAAATTTGAAGAAGAACAATTATTAAAAAATAAAGGTGAGACTAAGAAACTGTGGAATACAATAAAAAACATTTGTGATATTCAAACACACAAGAAAGAATCAACAGAATTATTATACATAGAAAACTCAATTGACGAAAAGACATCACTTGACATGTGCAATATCCATTTCTCAACCACTGGCGCGCTTGCAAATAATATTTTAGAAAAGTTAAAAGAAAAAGAGGAGAACTTGATGCCTAAAATGGATGGCGTATTGGGATCTTTTTTCATGGCTCCGACTGATGAATTTGAAATAGGTGACCTAATTACTCAGTTAAAAAATGATAAATCTCCTGGAATTGATGGAATAATCAATAGTTTAATCAAAACAATAAAGGAATTCATTTTAACACCTCTAGTACACATTTATAACCTTAGTTTTGTATCAGGTATCTTTCCGGACTCTTGGAAAACAGCTTTATTATACCCAATTCATAAAGGAGGCGCTACTCTCCAGATAATTACCGCCCAATAGCACTACTTGGAACTTTCTCAAAATTACTGGAGAAACTTGTCAACAAAAGATTAGTTAAATACCTTGAAAACCAAAATCTGCTATCTCCTAAACAGTTCGGTTTTAGATCAGGAAAGTCCACCGAGGATGGTCTCTACTTATTACAACTATCACCTCCAAACTTGACCAAGGATTACAATGTGTAGTTGTGTTTTTGGATTTGGCTAAGGCTTTTGACACAGTGTCGCGCTGCTTCTAAAAAAACTGGAAAAGTCAGGTGTCAGAGGTTTAGCATTAAATTGGTTCAGCAGCTACTTAAACCACAGAAGGCACTGTCTAAGGTTGGGACAGTTCACAAGTAATACCCATACCACAAATTTCGGAGTACCGCAAGGTAGCGGCCCCACACTATTTATATTATATCTAAATGATATACATAATATTAAGTTAGAAAATAGTGAAATGATATGTTATGCCGACGATACAGTCTTATTGTTTTGGGACAAATCATGGGAGAGTGTTTACTCAAAAGCCGAAAGAGGAATGGCTCAAATAACCAAATGGCGTTTCGCAAAACTAGAATGTCAGCACCGCCTTTAGGGTTGCAAATTAAAATTCACAATCAATGTTTGAATAACGTAGCGTGCGACTGCCAATGTATAAACAAAGTTTATGACACAAAATATCTCGGAGTGTATATTGACCAAAACATTAACTTTAAAAAACATATCTCAATGACATCAAACAAAATTCGAAACATAACTCATGTGATGCGTAAACTACGAGAGTCGGCTAACATAAATACACTCATGACTGTTTACTATGCCCTCTGTCACTCTGTGTTGTCGTACTGCATCATCTGCTGGGGAGGTGCAGCCAAGTCAAGCATGATTGAAGTCGAAAGAGCCCAAAGATCAGTTCTTAAAACAATGCTGAAAAAAAGATATAGGTATTCTACAACTAAGTTATATAAGGAATGCAAAGTACTTAGTGTTAGGAAACAATTTTTGAGGAAAGTGACTTTAGTCACTCATAAAGATGTACTGAATTCCACCAAATATGGAAACCTGTTAAAAAAAAGAGTTTTTCAGATACCCCTGCCTATGGTACAGACAACCTTTGCTAAACGTTTTAGCCCATATATAGCTGTAAATTTATATAATAGAATAAGCAAGTCATGTGATATAAAAAAATGTTCTCTAGCTCAAGCCAAAATAAAAATAAAAGATTTTTTAATAAGTCTGGACTATTATCAATGTGAGAAATTGTTTCAAACCGAATTTTAATTACAGTATTTAATTACAGCCTCAGTAGTACTTAATATGTGTATATCTATTGTATGTATTAATATACTTTATATTTATTACTATTTATAGATATTTATTTATTATATATATACTTTGTAATATAACGCCATAAGTGTTGCATGATATTGTTAAGTTATTTCATTAAAGTCAAGCACCTAACATATCAATTATGTGTAATGATCTCCTCTGAACCACACGATACAGACTTGCATGTCTAGTGTGTGGTTCGCAGTAATGTGTATTGAATGTAAAAGTGTTTTATTGGCCAATAAAGTTTATTATTATTATATTATTATTATATGTCTATATTAAGTAGAAATAAAAATATTCAATAAACAATTAATAGAGAGTTATTTAGCTTAGGCTGGAACTAGATACAGCTGTGCGAAATAACTGCTTTAATTACCTATAGGTTCAGTCGTGGTCGGTGCGGGCTCGTCCAATGAGAAGGAGTCCAGTCGGCCGGAGAGCTGCGAGTGTAGTTTGAGTAGCAGCGATATGATGGACTCGTTCACTGGTATCGATTCCTCATGTTGCTTATTGTGTACTTGTACCTAATTAACAATGACGCACGGTGTACTATTTAGATACTACTTTAATTATCATTTAATAATAATAAAACAATTTTATACAATTTTAATTGCATTTTGATACATTAAGTCATCTTAACTGAAAGCATTAAAAGTACAACATTACTGTATGTTGTAAACCTACTCTGGTCCTTCGAGCCAAATAAGTTTAACAAATTTCTTTAAGCGTTAATCGCTTTTGTTTAGCACATTTTTGTAAAGATTGACTGTGCTCAATAAATAGATATTATTATTATGATGTGCCAAAAATAAACATAGAATATTGTAACAAGTAGACCATAACACAAATAAATATATTATTAAATTTTAAATACTAAAGTAAATTGTAAGCATCGAATAGCATATGTGAGTGTGTTAGAGAGTAAGAGTGAGTGAGTGAGGTGCACCGACCTGCGTGCTGGTGGAGGGGTGCGGCGCGGGGGGCGCGGGGGGCGCGGGCAGCGCGGGGGCGCGCGCGCACCACGCGCCCGGGGCCTCCAGCTCTGACCACACACACACACACACGTCATTATACAGTTACCACTCCACTACCTTCTATGAGTACACTGCCTAATTTGCTGGCAAGCAGTAGTGTTTCGATTGGAGAACTAGATATGCCGATGATATGATGGCACGATATATGTTCTAAGGAATGGCAACACCATAATACAGCTGTAAAATATATTTTTCTGAGTACAACATGACAAATATACCGTCAAGCAGTTTGAATTGTAAGCTGTGTTTCGATTGAAGAATTAGTCTACCATTTGTACTTTTACCTTGGTATTTTGTGTATTGAAGTTATATAAATAAAAATAAATAAATAAATATGCTGGTAAAATTACAGAATATGATGGCACGATATCTGTCCTATAAAATAGTGACTTCATCATACAGATGTCACTAAATTGCATTCTCTGAGTGCACATTGACAAATTTGTCGCCAAGCACTTTAATTTGAACTTCGTTATTTCTATTGGATAAGTACATAATAGAGTATGATGGCCTGATATTATAGTCTTTAATGGCGATGCATATAGGGAGCCAGTGTTGTGGCAAGAATCTTGTTCATTCTACTTCTGTATCTGTATAAGTTTGTGCTCCAAATGAATGACTATTCAAAAATATTTATACTCAGTACTGTCGAGCGGCTGAAGGCCAACTCTTGACGGATACGGTTCTAGTCTAAGGGCACCGTGAGGGGTTGGAATCTGGTAATGAATCCCCGTTGGAATAGTCCGGGGGATGGTGTAATGCGTACCGTATGTCCCGGCGCCCGGCGGGGTGTCTGGCGGCGGCAGCGCCAGCGCCACGCGGTGCTCGGCGGGAGGCTCCACCAGCTGCAGCGCCAGCGACGGCGCCTCCTGCCGGCACACACCACCACCTTTGTACACTCATCTAACATAAGCCGATCACGTAGATAACCTTGTTACTAGCGTTGCCAGACGTCCCGTATTTTAGGCTCAGTTTAAAATATCCCGGCGGAATTGCCTCTGTCCCGTATTTGAATCGTGCTCAGTTTTCTTATTATTAAATCGATCGATCTACGCTAGACAAAATTACCCCTAATTTAATAACAGGCGAGTTGAATCCGGCTCGAAGGACCGTTAATGTAGGGTCCTAAACTAAGGACTTTTAAATTAAAAGGTTTCTTGGACTGTAAGTTAAATGTAATAGTTGAAATATAAAAAATACAGAGAATGATCGGATATTGTGCGCGCGTGTAGTATTCGGTGGCGAGATCAGAAGTGAGGGCCGGTCGGTCCGGTGCTATCCGCACCCCCTTGGAGCCGCGCCCCGCAGCACCGCTCGCGGACTCCAGTCCAGCCGACGATGTCCGAACAATGACCGTTTTTAATTACGATTACGTATAATTATATTGATTTTTATACATATGTTATTAGACTTGCTCCTCGGAAATATATAAAAAAAAAAATTTCACTATGTAATTTTATTTTTTATTTATCCCGGCTAAAAAACTAAATTCCCGTATTTTTTTGCCTATTTAAGCCTTATAGGCTTAAAAATATCTGGCAACTCTACTTGTTACGCTTACAAATATATTGAACATAATGAATGGATTAGACCTGAACATGCTTGTATTGAAGGAACGACTGATTCCTTCGGTACATGCATGTCCAGAACTAATTCATTCATTGTAAGCGATGGCCGGTAGGATTTTCCTCTGAAAATAAACCGACCGTGGTCAAGACTTCGTGGACGACACTTTCCACGGTACAAACATGTGATCTAACTCATATTTACAATATTCATGGCCTCGGTGGACCAGTGGTTTAAAACACCGTTTTAATTCCGACAGTCGTTTCGATTCCTAGCACGGTGCAAATATTTGTATTCATGAGTCTGATTCTTTATATCAGTTTGGATATTTTCTATGTATATTACATATGTACTTACAATAAAAAAAATATCTAAGTATTTATATCAGTTGTCTAGTGATCATAACAGAAACTTTGCTTACCATGAGACTAGATGGCGCTGTGCCAATTTTTTCATATATCAAAAAAGCAAAAAGATTTTGGTTTTCAAGGCCATAATTACAATAGATATTACGATATAATTACCATTTATAAAATTGCCAATATTTAATGGAAACACAAAAAAATGGTCTATTAATTATGTCAATTCAATCAGAAAATATTTGCAATATTTACCTCTAACGCTCGTATATGCGGCGCATCACCACTCGCGTCCGATTGTTCGTCTGATACTGAGTTGCCTCTAACAACCTGATCATGAGAAAAAAACTCACTATAAGTAAGTATAGGGGGCAAAATATGTATGCTCTCATCTCAAACATTATTAGGAAACAAAAAATAACTATATTTTTTACTACTTTAGGTTTGGAAGCGTAACATTTAATGTTGTATAAAAGTGGTAGAAGCTATCCTTATAGTACATGTCGTTGCTTAATAAGAAAAAATTTCATTTTTCAAAATTAGAAGCTAGAACTGCCTCATTTTACGTACGTTCAATTGACCACAGTCTTAATCACTATAAAAATACTTTTAAAACGATATATAACACTTCTGTGTAAATTTTTGTTAAAACTTTAAAGGAAAAAATAATAATTTAAATGAATTTAGAAATTTTAAATGGTTGTCTTGTAAAAAATGTATCTATTTAACCGACGATGTAGAGAAATAAAAAAAAATATATTACTAGGTTCATTTATTCATTAAAGGAAAACCAAGGCTCATTACAGACATACTGAATCAACTAGCTGTTCCCGCGACTCCGTCCGGAGTAACTTAGGCTACTTTTATTTTAGAAAAATAAAGTTAAATTCCACGCGGACGGAGTCGCGGGAACAGCTAGTACATTACAAAATTAACAGAGAACATGAAATTAGGATAAGAACAAGAGTACAGTAACAAATAATGAATTTACTGACAGTTTGTAGCAAGTAGCATTAGAATTATCCACTATTCCAAGCAAAATGCACGAAAAGCATATCATTACATAGTATAAAACTAAGTCGCTGTCGCTGTCTGTCCGTCCCTATGTATGCTTAAATCTTTAAAAAACTTCGCAACGGATTTTGAAGCGTTTTTTTTTTAATAGATAGAGTGTTTCAAGAGGAAGGTTTATATATATAATACATGTACACCCGTGCAAAGCCAGGGCAAGTAGCTAGTTAAACATATAATGTATAAGAAATAGAATAGAAGTGACAAACCTGTAATAATGTGGGGACTGCCAGCGCTGTGCTCGTCGTAGGCAGGGACACAGTCTTCGCTAGTGATGGAAGTCTCGTATTTACCGATTCTGATGGTTCCCATTCTGTGTCACCTGAAAGTAAGAATTAGATTTTTATGGTCAATACATAGAGAAGTTCTTTATCAGTCTATGGATTCATCGTACGGGTGACGGGTCCATGGTTTGGTAGAGAGGGAAGTTTTGAACAGTTCAAAACAGTTTTGAACAGTTCCAGGGACTTATGACCCGGGTGTAGGTTTAAGGTTGCGAAGTATTACAAGATACAGAGAAACTAATACTTTTTAAAAACGTAACGTTACAGTTACATTATTGTTGTTCGTGGGTTTTTTCATCACCTGTTAATGTACACAAATGTTTAGAAGGAAATTTTTACGACATATAGATATACGATAAGTTTGTGTTCCTACAATAAGGAAGGCGTAGAGTGTAATATGGCACGGCCAGCACCACGGTGTAGTGTGTAGTGTGTAGTGTGTAGTGTGTAGTGTGCGGCGTGCAGTACTCACTGTCGGAGTGGTAGTGCGAGGGGTACACGTGCGGCGCGTGCGGCGCGGGCGCGCGGTGCGCGGGCACGGCCAGCACCACGGTGTAGTGTGTAGTGTGTAGTGTGTAGTGTGTAGTGTGCGGCGTGCAGTACTCACTGTCGGAGTGGTAGTGCGAGGGGTACACGTGCGGCGCGTGCGGCGCGGGCGCGCGGTGCGCGGGCACGGCCAGCACCACGGTGTAGTGTGTAGTGTGTAGTGTGTAGTGTGTAGTGTGCGGCGTGCAGTACTCACTGTCGGAGTGGTAGTGCGAGGGGTACACGTGCGGCGCGTGCGGCGCGGGCGCGCGGTGCGCGGGCACGGCCAGCACCACGGTGTAGTGTGTAGTGTGTAGTGTGTAGTGTGTGCAGTACTCACTGTCGGAGTAGTGTGTAGTGTGTGTGTAGTGTGTAGTGTAGTGTGCAGTGTGTAGCGTGCAGTACTCACTGTCGGAGTGGTAGTGCGAGGGGTACACGTGCGGCGCGTGCGGCGCGCGGTGCGCGCGGGTGTAGTGTGTAGTGTGTAGTGTGTAGTGTGCGGCGTGCAGTACTCAGTCGGAGTGGTAGTGCGAGGGGTACACGTGCGGCGCGTGCGGCGCGTAGCACCACGGTGTAGTGTGTAGTGTGTAGTGTGTAGTGTGTAGTGTGCGGCGTGCAGTACTCACTGTCGGAGTGGTAGTGCGAGGGGTACACGTGCGGCGCGTGCGGCGCGGGCGCGCGGTGCGCGGGCACGGCCAGCACCACGGTGTAGTGTGTAGTGTGTAGTGTGTAGTGTGTAGTGTGTAGTGTGTAGTGTGTAGTGTGTAGTGTGTAGTGTGTAGTGTGTAGTGTGCGGCGTGCAGTACTCACTGTCGGAGTGGTAGTGCGAGGGGTACACGTGCGGCGCGTGCGGCGCGGGCGCGCGGTGCGCGGGCACGGCCAGCACCACGGTGTAGTGTGTAGTGTGTAGTGTGTAGTGTGTAGTGGTCGTGTGTGTAGTGTAGTGTGTCCTGTGCGGCGTGCAGTACTCACTGTCGGAGTGGTAGTGCGAGGGGTACACGTGCGGCGCGTGCGGCGCGGGCGCGCGGTGCGCGGGCACGGCCAGCACCACGGTGTAGTGTGTAGTGTGTAGTGTGTAGTGTGTAGTGTGCGGCGTGCAGTACTCACTGTCGGAGTGGTAGTGCGAGGGGTACACGTGCGGCGCGTGCGGCGCGGGCGCGCGGTGCGCGGGCACGGCCAGCACCACGGTGTAGTGTGTAGTGTGTAGTGTAGTGTGTAGTGTGCGGCGTGCAGTACTCACTGTCGGAGTGGTAGTGCGAGGGGTACACGTGCGGCGCGTGCGGCGCGGGCGCGCGGTGCGCGGGCACGGCCAGCACCACGGTGTAGTGTGTAGTGTGTAGTGTGTAGTGTGTAGTGTGCGGCGTGCAGTACTCACTGTCGGAGTGGTAGTGCGAGGGGTACACGTGCGGCGCGTGCGGCGCGGGCGCGCGGTGCGCGGGCACGGCCAGCACCACGGTGTAGTGTGTAGTGTGTAGTGTGTAGTGTGTAGTGTGTAGTGTGCGGCGTGCAGAACTCACTATCACACGTCTAAACACAAGTCACCACAGACACACCCGGATGCCCTCGCGCGCGGCGGTGCGCGGGCACGGCCAGCACCACGGTGTAGTGTGTAGTGTGTAGTGTGTAGTGTGTAGTGTGCGGCGTGCAGTACTCACTGTCGGAGTGGTAGTGCGAGGGGTACACGTGCGGCGCGTGCGGCGCGGGCGCGCGGTGCGCGGGCACGGCCAGCACCACGGTGTAGTGTGTAGTGTGTAGTGTGTAGTGTGTAGTGTGTAGTGTGCGGCGTGCAGTACTCACTGTCGGAGTGGTAGTGAGAGGGTACACGTGCGGCGCGTGCGGCGAGGGCGCGCGGTGCGCGGGCACGGCCAGTGTGTATTGTGTTGTGTGTAGTGTGTAGTGTGCGTGTGTAGTGTGCGGCGTATATACTGTGCGGCGCGGCGCGTGCGGCGCGGGCGCGCGGTGCGCGGGCACGGCCAGCACCACGGTGTAGTGTGTAGTGTGTAGTGTGTAGTGTGCGGCGTGCAGTACTCACTGTCGGAGTGGTAGTGCGAGGGGTACACGTGCGGCGCGTGCGGCGCGGGCGCGCGGTGCGCGGGCACGGCCAGCACCACGGTGTAGTGTGTAGTGTGTAGTGTGTAGTGTGTAGTGTGTAGTGTGCGGCGTGCAGTACTCACTGTCGGAGTGGTAGTGCGAGGGGTACACGTGCGGCGCGTGCGGCGCGGGCGCGCGGTGCGCGGGCACGGCCAGCACCACGGTGTAGTGTGTAGTGTGTAGTGTGTAGTGTGTAGTGTGCGGCGTGCAGTACTCACTGTCGGAGTGGTAGTGCGAGGGGTACACGTGCGGCGCGTGCGGCGCGGGCGCGCGGTGCGCGGGCACGGCCAGCACCACGGTGCGCGCGTTGTCGCACACGGCGGAGCCCGCGAACGCGCCCAGCAGAGGAACGCCAGAAACACGCGCAGGCGACGCACCCTCCGCCACGCACACGTCGCGCTGTTGACACCACACACATGTATGTTAAAGGTTAAATAAAAAGGTTAAAATGTTATGTTTAAGGATTAAAAGAACATTTTCATTTCATATATATTTTCACATATACATATGTACTTTCTAACCAGTTTCCCTAAGCTTTGGTTCGATTAGATAGCAATAAAATCACCTTATTGTGTAGTATGTTCTATTTAACTTGTACTGTTTGATCCTAATTATAGGCTCACCGTCACAGGTGTCACCGTCACTGTTCTCACGCGCTGTTCACAGCTTAATGTCCGCATGACGCCAGCAGCGTGCGGTAGAGACGACATAACGCTTCTTTCTCTCTCATCGTACTCACGTGGTGGTCGCGCGCGCGCTCGGCGGCGAGCTCGGCGGCGACGTCGAGCAGGTAGAGCGCGAGCGCGAGCACGTGGTCGGGCGGCGCGTGCGGCGCGGCCGCGTCGGGCGCGCGCCGGTGTACACCGCGGTGCAGCACGGCCAGCAGCGCGCCGTGCAGCACGCCTGGTGTTACGTATGATATGTAAGGAACAATTATGTACTTAGTAAGTACTATATAAGGATTTATTATTATAATAAACAGATAGTGTACACACATACACCGTTGCACCTATCATTGCCTAACAAGCACCACCGTTATATGGCGACCCTGCCTGGATGTCTGTTTATTATAATAATCAATCCTTATATACTACTTACATACTAAGTACATTATTCATGCTTACACATACACAGTTATACATATTATAGTAATTGGGAGCAAATTATAGCTTTCACTTGACAACAATCTACTATTTATTCCTCCGTCACAACAAACATATACAGATAGACAGGCCTGTGCACAATAACCACAAAATTGGCCTAAACAATTAAGTGCAATTTTTACTGAAGCAGTGTAGTTACCTTAATTGCTACACAAAAATTATATGAGTACGGTTCATTATGGATATAATATACAAGAAAGACAAGTGACTGAAAAAGCGCAATACCTGAAGCACAGAGCGCGCGGGGATCCCCCGCTCCGGGCGGGCCGGGCCGGGGCGCCCGCAGCGGGGGCCACAGCACGCCGCCGCCCGCGCCCGCACCGGTGCCCGCACTCGTGCCCGCGCCCACATCCGCATTCGTGCCCGCAACCGCATTCGCATTCGTGCCTGAGCCCGCGTCCGCATTCGTGGCCGCACCACTGCCCGCCTGCTCGTTACTCACGCCGTCCTTCTGTTTCTCGCGCACGCTGCACACAATGTCACATAAATTAAATACACCGTAACAAAACAATTTTATCAGTAGTATAAGAATCATAAGTACACAGTACCTCAGTCGTAATTCAGCTTGCTTTGTAAGCTGATCTTCAGTTGTAGATTAATCACCAAAATTACAGGATAAGAGGCACTAAGATAGTGTTCTGTAATAGCAGTGTATAAGTGGTAACACGGGTGTTACGTGATAACGTGATTGATGACAAGTAACGACTAACAGCTACTGTATTATAGTGTGTGCGTGCGTGTTTACTGTTTACATGTATTTTGCTTCTTGTACATACTTTTTTATTGACAAATTATATTTCTCAGTCACTATATTTGCACTGCCTACAATTTTTTTCCGCACAACCTATGGCTGACTGGTAGAAATGCCGTAAGATGTTAAGTCCAGCATTGCACGCTTTTTCATGCGCTAATAGACACAGGAAAGTAAATATAAATAAAGAGAATGAGAAGAAGAAGAAGCGCGCCACCAGTGACGCATTATCGTCGTAGATCTTGTCTTTAAAATAGTCCGTGCTTTAGCGTCTTTTTTAAATATTTAGCATACCAAAATGGCGGACATCTGTGTATGGTGAATGTAAATGTAGATAAAGAGAACGAGAAGGAACTCGCGCGCCGCCATTTCGCGCATTCTCACGTCCTTCAATCGTCTGTGCTTTAGCAGACTATGGAGTAAAGACATAATTATGGAGTTCTTGATAATATATAAATCTTAAACATGTTCCTAAAAATATAATCTGTAGAATACAAAAACAAATTTAAAAGAAAGTGAAATGACTTGATATATCGCTATCGCGCACGAAAGAGCGATAAGTAATAATAGTAAAGTACAATCCCTGACGATAGCGTGGGCTAGCTTTACCGCGCAGAATCGTAGGCGCTCCTGATCGCGTAAGGACATGCCGCGTAAAGTCAGCTATAAAAGTCACGTAAACTGTCAGTACTAACTAGGCCGTGAACCGGTCCATGGAGGCGTGGAAGTCCCGGCGGTGTACGGCGCGGCGCAGCACGTGCAGCGGGTCGTAGTACTGCTCCCACACGATCGGCTTCGGCACGAACAGACCCTGCTCCAGGTTCTCGGAGCCCTTCGGCGGCGGCCGGTACGTTGACACCTGTGATAGTGTTAAGTAACATTGGCTGTATTTGGTCATATTTTATTATTTGGTGAATGATGTAATGACATCAATCACTATATTCACCTAAGTGGTTTCAGATAGATTGTGGAATGCATTACCTGAAGAGAGACTACAGCATGAGGTTTTTCAAGAAGGGTATATTAAGGTTTCTTAAGGGTCGGTAACGCGCACGTGACACCCCTGATGTCTCAGGCGTCCATAGGGTACGGTAACTGTTTACCATCACATGGGTCGTATGCTTGTAAGCCACCAAAGTAATTAAAAAAGAAATGGGTTTTTCAAGAAGGGTATAAGGTTAAGTTTATATTTTTGTTTACTTTCTTTAGTTGGTTCGAAGTGCCGAATCGAAAGATCAGCTTTAATATATGTATTGCATATTTTAATTTCCTTTTTAACAACTTTCGTTTTAACGGCTTCAGATGTCTAGCGGTTTAGCACACTGCTTTACTTCCTATGTCTGCGGTTCGAATCCTACCAAACATTTTTATTCATGAGTATGATCTGTTTCTATTGATCTTGATGTTTTCTAAATATGTTGTATGCATTTACAAAAATAATGCAAGTAGTCTATAGTACCCATAACACAAGCTTTGCTTATCTGCTTGATCTAAGATGACACCGTGTGTAGCGTATTGAGATATTATTACGAAGGACAAAAACATTTGATTGAACCCACGCACCTCCTTGAGCACGGTCTCGAAGTTCTTCGTGTGAGCATTCCCGGACCTCTCCGGCATCAGCTCAAGTAGCTGCGAGTGTGTCTTGTCTCCGGCTGCGAGGAGGGTGCTTACCTCCAGCCGGGACTGCGTCAACTCGTCGTTTCCTATAAACATATATAATATATATAAGAATCATTATTTCAATATGTTCATTTCATTAGACCAATAGAGATAACGATTATACAATTAATGATTTTATAAAAAGAGTGAAATTAAATCATTATCTCTATAGGTCTATACAATGGAGATAATGATTATACAATTAATGATTTCATGAAATGAGTGAAATGGCCATATTGAAATAATTATTATAAAATTGTCATTTTCCTTTCTTTAATATATTTTACACATTTTAACTAGTTAATTATAATTTATGCTATGTAATAAAATTCAGTTTAAGACAATAAAGACATCTCAATTACCTAGATTAGTCTGCGAAGAGACGAGTATGGCCAGGAAGGTGAGTAGACCCTCCACCATCGCGTCCTGTTCAGAGGCTTGCACCAACGTCATCGGCAGCATGCTCAACCATTCCCGGACACCGAACCTGTTCAATGACAAAACGATATTATTTATTGCACTGTTAACAACACTTACTTAACATTTATCATATTTCGCCAAATTTACATAATATCTTTTTAAATTATAGCCTACATGTTATTCTGATGTATAAGGTATATACTGTAAAGTTGAATCAAAATCACTTGATTAGTTTTTGCGCGAAAAAGTAACAAACATCCTCAAGTAATATTATATAGTAATATAGTAAGTGTAATATATAGTATACAAATGGCTAGTACGATATGGCTAGATAATACGATAAAATAAGAAATGAAGCAGTACTGTCAAAGAAGAATATTACCTACAAATACTTATCTTTTTTTGAGATTTTTGTTACTTAATAATATATGTGTATACTGTTCAATCAGATACAAGTCAGTTTATGTAATTTATGGTATTTCATATGGTTTTGTTATAAAAAAAAAGGATGATTATTAATGTTTTAAAAATAATTACATAGGATATTAAAAGGTTTAGTGCCCTTTTAGTGGGCGTTCTGTTAGTTTATAGTTATTTAGAAGCTAAGTTCATACTGTCTCGACACCTCGTTGTCTATATTATAAAATGTTCAATCCGTTTAAAGTCAGTTCCAATAAAGAAATAGAAGCAAGCACATGTATTTTAATTCTTTGCAAAATAAATAGTACAGAATCAAGCAATCGAAAACGGACCTTATTGTAAAGAACAAATATAATTTAAGGAAGAATGGATATAGAACATCAAGACACAGTTATATAAAAGCAGATTAAAGAAAACATTGGAGTCGTGTCGTATCAACAATTAAAGAGATTGATGGAAGATCGTGCGAAGTGGCAAGAGCTCCACGTGACTAGAGCGCGGAACTTAAATTATAAATGAATGAATACTATATTATTATGACCTTCTATCTATCTAAATATCTATTAATAGCAGAGCAAATTGACGACCACGTACGCATACGTATAATAATGGGTCAACCAGTGGTAAAGGAGGTAGAGTTACTGCAATCAAATCCACATTATTCTCTGGTACGATTAGCTAACGGTAGGGACTACAATACCTAACAGATATCTAGCACTAATCGGCGGTCGGTGTAATATATTTTTCTCTTCCATTCATCCCTGTTCGCAGTCATCTCGTTATTTACTTCCTTTCTTACCCTATCATCTTTCACACAGTCCATCCATCTCTTTTTCGGTCTTCCTCTGCCCTTATATGTAATCATCAACATTCATATGTAACACCTTTCAGATATTACACCGACCCCAAATGAATAGGATAAGGAAGAAGCGGATGATTATGATCTAGCACCAAGCGGAGAGGATGTCACTCAACTTCCCGATTCATCAGAAACTGAGGCTACACCGTCTGCTGACACGCATTTGAGTTTGAATGATCCGACCCCTATTCCTAATTCAATTCCTTACGATACAAGACCTACCAATTAGCCGACCGACATTGAAAACGTGTCTGAATCGTATCCTATTCTTCGGAAGTTCAGCGCAGGCAATTCAATGGTGCACCATTCCATTATAATACATAAAAAAAAATAACGAACACTGATTAGACTATTTGCTTTTGGAATAGCATCTGTTGGTAGTCAATCTATTCCAAATTTGAATTTGAAAATTCATCTGTATTATTGTAAACATATACAACATTTATTTGGAAATAATACGAGCTGAGTTACTTGTTAGTTCTTCTAGAAATTTCCGAACTGACGGTAGATTTGACATATCATAAGAGTCTGTAATAGACCTACATGAATAAAGATATTTTGAATTTTTTTTAATCACTCAATACTCACATATCAATACACATGTCTAGGAACTGGTCGGCGGGCAGGTGTGCTGCGCAGATCTGGAGCCAGTATATGTCCATATCGACCATGGAGTTGCAGAAGTTGGCCTGTATGTACGTCATCGCCTGCCCTTTGATCTGTAACCCGTTGCGCACCCATATCCCCGCCAGGATCTCGTAGAATAAACTCTGCAACAACATATATTCATTATTAGACTAGCTACTCGCCAGGGCTTCGCACGGATGTACATGTATTATATATATAACCTTCCTCTTAAATGACTCGTATCTATTAAACAAAACAGCTACAAAATCCGTTGCTAGTTTTTAAGTTTTAAGCATACATAGGGACGGACAGAAAGCGACAGCGACTTTGTTTTATACTATGTAATGATTTGGATGAAACTATTCCTCTTAATCGTAGACCTTTAGACATTTTACAGACAAATATCGTACACATGAGCTATAAAGGTCAGTGTAGTGATACAGTGGTTTATCACATAATGTTATTAAAAAAAAATAAACGAATAATAAGCAACGAGTTTGATAATGCTCGATTTGGCAGGAAAATTTACCTCAATAATATATAATATTGCCATAGTTAAGAAACTTTGCAATATGTACGGGAACTAATAAAAAGTCGTATAAAACAATATGTACCTTATGACGAAACATTTCTAAAGATAGAAAGATTATGATAATACTAATAGCATTTGACGGGCTCGGGGGTCTAGATGGCAGTGGGTTCGATTCCTCGCACGTTACAAATATTTGTATTCCTGAGTACGTCGGTTTGTATTGATCTGCATGTTTTTTTATGTATATTATGAAGGATTACATTTACAAAAACGTATTTAAGTATTTTTATCAGCCGTTTAGTACTCATAACACAACCTTTAGAACTAGATGGCGCTGTGTGAATGGTCCACGGCTATTATATTATTATTATTATTACACCTAACCCTTTTGTTTTTAGACCTGCCAAGTTAGAATTATTGTTTTTTTTTTATTTATTCTCTTTTTGCACTAAAAATTGTACAACTTGGCGAGCTTAATGCCATATGGCATTATCTACCAGCTAATCATTAGGTAAGAACAGAAAGCGGTTGATGGGCAGTGGTGGGAAAGGACTAACCTATAAATTTGCATAACATATGTAAATAGGTCTATTATAATATTAGACACAAATCAATATCAAAAGCTCACCAAAATGTAGAATGTTTACGACTGTCTACCATTGTCATGAACTACAACTTACATAATATTTAACAAATCATTAATATCCTCAATTCGTATAATTATAATAATAATAATAATAATAATAATAACATTTCAGAGCAATTCACACAGAACCATCTAGTACCAAGCTAAGCAGAGCTTGTATTATGGGTACTAGACAACTGATATAAATACTTTTTTTTAACATACTTTTATTTTTATTGAAAATACCCAAACAGATACAAACAATCATACTCTTGAACACAAATGTTTGTACCGTGCGAGGAATCCAACCCGCGACTATCGGTCGTAAACCGCTAGACCAGCGAGGTCGTCAATTAATAATATTTTAAGTAATATTGTATTTACGTACTGGCAACATAATTCAGTTTATAAATAAAGCTAGTGACGGTCTAATATTCGCGTATTACAATATGGCTGCGCCACTTTGTCGCACCTTCGTGGTGCTTCTCGCGTGTGCACACGGTATCTTCGCCTTCTTCGACACGGCCATCGAAATCATTCACGTCGGCAAAGAAGTTAGTGAGGACATTATGACGACGTGGAATTTGATTGACACAGACCGTTTCGAGGATGACGTCGAGCTGCCGATATTGAAATCAAAAGAGAAGGCCATCATCACATCGGTGAAACAGATTAACACTCGAATGCAACGAATGGAGTTTAACATCGGCCGCATCACTAACGTAGGTTCGATAGCGTCCTATTTGCGATTCGCTCTGCACCACTTGTCCGATCTGATACATCAAGTGGAGGCGACATATCTGGCGTTCATTGATTATACAGAGGACAAAGACGACCTGGAGTCTCCTACCTTGGAAGATTTCGCTCGGCAGTGCGTGTCACACAATCCTGGCGCGTTGAGAGGACTGATGGAGCGCATATACTCTCTGACAGTGGCGCCAAATGACCGCTTATTTGGGCAGAACTTAATGGATTCAATCCTCAGAGATTTACAGGTTTGTCTAGTATAGTTCACTAGTTGTATGCCGCGTTATTGCCCGTGTGAAGTTCGGTTAAAAACAGCCTGTGTCAATCGACAGCTACAGTCTAGCGGTTTGGTCACGCGTTCCATTCTTAGGTACAAACATTTGTATTCATGAATATGTTTGTATGAATCGGTCTGGGTGTTTTCATGTTTATTATGAACGTATTGAGAAAAAAATATATCTAGAAACAGAAATAGAAATAGAAATAATCTTTATTCAAATAAACTTAATATAAGCACTTTTGAATAGTCAAGTTTTTTTATTCTACCGCTCATTCGGAATCTATCTATGTTTCATATCAGTTGTCTAGTACCCATAACACAAGTTCAGGTAAGCTTGGGACTAGATAACGTGGTGTGAATTGTCCTAAGATATTATATTATTATGTATAATGTACTATGACCTATATACAGTATGATCTATTTGTGTAACGAATGTCCTTCGAATCAATCTGTAGAGGATATCTTTTCACTTAAAAAACAGCAGACAAAGTCGCGGGTAACAACTAGCTATTTATACAGATTACTTTGTACTATTGAGGTATCATTCGTTTGTCCCTTTTAGTTGTACGCCATAAAAAAACTAATAGATCGTAATTCTCGTTATAAATCCAGTTCTAAGTTTAAAACAGCAAGTTGACAATTCATTATATATTTCTAAATGCGTCTGCGTTGATTGTAACACAGTGAACATTATGGTAATACAGTTAACAATCCCATATACGGCTGTACGATTAACCCTTTCACATTCGACTTGTATGTACTCACAGATTGCTTACTATTTCTCTAAATATTCCATCTGCTGTAAAGATTTATCTACTATGTAAAATTCTCGTGTCACATGTTTCGTGTTTATACTCCTCCGGTACGGCTTGATCGATTTTGATGAAATTTTATATGTATATTCAATAAGTATCAGAATAACGAGATAAAGAGGTTTATAACTAATTTGTATACCCCTAAGTGTTAAGGGTGACTCACCCAAAAATATTTTCGACATTTTAAATTATCAATATTTTAAATTTTTTCGATATTTTTTATTTTTTTATTATGTGGCATCAAAGAATACATACAACACTAAATCTTCACCCTTCTATGACCAACGCCTATTTTTTTATAGCGTTATTAATTTATATGGCAAAACAATATGTGCCGGGGCAGCTAGTATAAAACTATAATTAACAAACAACGAAGTTAAACAACACTCGCTATACCAATTAATTAACAATAACAAAATACACAGTGTAAAGAGAAGGAAAATAAATATTTGCTTGTATATAATTCCATTTGAAAAGTCTAAGTTTCTTGTCAAACAACTTTTCTGACGATAGACAGACGGCCTCGGTGCCCTAGCGGTTTAGTACACCGCCTTACTTCCTATGGTCGCGGGGTCGATTCCTCGCACGGCACGAACATTTGTATTCATGTTTGTATCGGTCTGGGTGTTTTATATGTATAATATGTATGTATTAAATGTATTACCAAAAATATGTATGTATTTGTATCAGTTATCTAGTCCCCATAACACAAGCTTTAGCTAGCTAAACTTGGGTCTAGATGACGCTGTGTAAATTGTCCTGAGATTATTATTATTATTATTTCATGGATTATAAACTAGGTACCAGGCTTCGTATTAGCGTACATACAGTATTATATATACATAAACATTCCTCTTGAATCACTGTCTATTGCTAAAAACTGCATCAATATCAGCCACAGGACAGACAGCGGAAGCTACTTTTTTTTGTACTATCTTCTGTTCATTCAAATTTTTGAACTTATTTATTAATTATTATTTAAATTAATTAATTAATTAATTAGAGATTGTTTTTTTAACGATAAGGGCGCCTTTTGTTTAGCACATTTATATAAAGTATTTTTTTTTGTAAATATTTTCTGTACGATAAATAGTTATATTACTACTATTAATATCGAGGTACAGAAAATAAAAAAAAAACTTTAGAGCAGTAGCTTTGTTTCAATATCGTATCAGTGGGTTTTTAAGATGACGTCTTGACCCTAGGCCCATTAAGATAAAATAAAGCTGCAAATTGTGAGTCGCAATTGAACACAAAGGACTTCGAACAAATGTTATGGTATATAAAGTTCAAATTTGTGGCGGCGTAGTGGGCCGGGTCAATGTGCTCCCTCTAATATAGTTGAGTGCAATGACGGCTGACTCATCCGTCATACTCGTGAATGGGTGCTGCTTGTGGGGACTGGTCTATTTGGGTTAGACTAGTTGCTTTAGCAATAGCATATGCTGGAGGTCACTCTATTCTCCCAAATTTTAATTTAAAAATCAATCTCTATTATTGTAAACACGTACAACATTTATTTGAAAATATTATGAGTTGAGTTTCTTGTCAATTTTTCTCATCTCATCAAATCAAAATCATCATCATCTCTCAAATCATTCCGAAATGACGGTAGATTTGGCATATCATATGAGTCTGTAATAGACCTACATGAATAAAGATATTTTGAATTTGAATCTGGTATAATATAAGTACCACGGGAGGGAAAGGGGTTTGACAATTATTGTGGACTGATGATCTTATTGCTAGCAATGTACAATATCAAGTTGACCTCCACGCGGTTCCCCTTTGAAACCATCGTGATAAATTCTTGGCGAGTTTGTAACAATGGGCTAACTGACCTGATCTCATGCTCATCTTATCATCCTCCACTGGTGCCCCGACAGCGTAAACGTAAGCGGTTTACGCTGGCGGGAGGATTATACTACATGAATATATATTATTCATGTAGGTCTATTACAGACTCATATGATATGCCAAATCTACCGTCAGTTCGGAATGATTTCATTGACAAGAAAATCAACTCATAATATTTTCGCGGCTTGTGAGTCACACGATTTTAAAAGTACAAAGGTAGTTGTAATTTTCAATTCTTAAATATTTGATATACCTACCTACTATTTTTTTTTTCTTATGAATGATAATGCAATGTTGCACCCGCCTGCGCTAACGGTTTACGCTGTCGGGGCACCAGTGGAGAGTAAGGTGAGCACATTGCCATTGACACAATTTAAAATACAATTATTTAATTTATTGATTGACAAATGTTACTATAAAATAATTGATTATATAAACGATGTTGAACTATAATTATTAAAAAACATAAATATATTGACAATAATAATTTTAACATTAGTAATAAACATATTATTACGACGGTTTTATAAATATCAAAATATTTTTTATAATAATAATAAATTTATAATCTGAAGATGATGTCTCGGACAGGGAAAAATGGCGTAGACAAGGAAAGCTGACCCCACTACCATGTGGGATACACAGCTAGGAAGAGTGAGAAATATGTATTTGCATGTCTGTAAAGACTACAAGTGAGAGCTATACTGTTACACATAATTAACTTTCTACATAATAGATGGTGATGGGTGATAACAATACATAATCATACCATTTTTATCTATACTTATAAATAAAATTGGAGTGTCTGTTTGTAATTAACTTAGGCTTCTTTTATTTCAGAAAAAAATCTTTTTTTTTAGAAAAATAAAGTTATCATGTAGGTTTCCTACTCACTCTTGTGATGAGTGTGCATTCCGAATGAGTGGTAAAATAAAAAAAATACTCTTCAGATGTGCCTGTATTGAGTTTATTTGAGTAAAGTTATTTCTATTTCTAATTCTATAAGTTCCACGCGGACGAAGTCCTCGCGACTTCTTACTGCTAGTAACAAATAAATTTCATTTCATCCCATTTCACGAGTTCAGATCAGTTTGTGGTAAATTCGCCATGAATTTATCACAATAGTTTCCAGTGGGAACTGCGCGTAGTCAACCTGACACGGTGGGGGTAAAGGGATTGTTAGTAATGTGGACTGATGATCTTATTGCTAACAATGTACCATGTCAGGTTGACCTCCACGCGGTTCCCCCTGGAAACCATCGTGATAAATTCCAGATGAATTTATCACGATGGGCCAACTGACCTGACCTCATTCTCATCTCATCATCTCCCACTGGTGCCCCGCCAGCGTAAACCGTTAGCGCAGGCGGGTGCTCCATTTCATTAACATATAAAAAAAAACCCTGACATGGTACATTGGTAGCAATGGGGTTGTTAGTCCACATTACTACCAATCCCCTATCTACTATATTAGGCATAAATAAATAAGTCTGCAAAGATATGTGTTATCTAAAATAACATTTGAATAATAATACAAACACACATACAGTCAGAGACTACATAAAAAATGCGAACACAAAACAAACGAAAGCAGATACAATAAAGTTTTTGTTAACATGCGGAGGGACTGTGTATGGGGTGTGCCGTGTGCCTACGACCCGGTGTTGCCAGCTACCAGTTACTCCCACTGTTACAGGGTAATTATATAGCTGTGTACAGCGTTAGAAGAAACTTTGAAATTCTATCTATACACATAAATAAAATTGGAGTGTCTGTTTGTAATATTGAAATAACCGTTTTGACTACATGCATATGAATATAAATACGGTACATACACCAAAATATTTTTTTTACATTTTTTTTCTGTCTGTCTCTTTGTTCCGACTAATCTCTGAAATTGATGGATCGATTTTGACGGGACTTTTTTTTGGCAGTTAGCTGATGTAATAGGCAGTAACTTAGGATACTTGTATTTTAGAAAAATAAAGTTAAATTCCACACAGACGATTTCGCGGGTACAGCTAGTTATAATATATAATAGAACTATAAAATATTAATAATAATAATAACTATATAATAGCCATGAACCATTCACACAGTGCATCTAGTCCCAAGCTAAATAGAGCTTGTGTTATAGGTACTAGACAACTGATATCAATACTTAAGATTTTTGTAAATACATGTATCTATTTATATAGAGAACACACCCAGACGGATACAACCAATCATACTCATAAATACAAATGTTTGCTCTGAGGAATCGAACTCGCGACCATCGGAAGTAAAGCAGTGTAAACAAGTATATTATTTCATTACATTTAAAATTCTTTTATAGAAATTGTATTATAATTAAAAATAAAGATACCATCATTATTTTGTTTTACCTTTTTCTTCATAAACTTCTATTTTAATAGTTAACTAATACCATATATTCAATTCAATATTATTTTATCAAAATTTAAATATGTAAATAATAAATGTCACACATAAAATACTTTTGTGAATTTATAAACAAACGCCAAATAATTAATAATAATCATTGTGGTCTATATTTTTAAAAACAAATACTATAGAAGTATTTAAAATATTATGTTTATGCGGTAATCATACGTCAAATAGTTATGTTCCTAGAAATAAATATACAAAAACATTTTATACTAAATTTAATTTCAGAACAACGTTATACGATTTAAAACATACAAATCATATTTCAGCGTAAACTATCAAAGTTGCAATACAATAAAAGTAATACTTAAACGTTCCGATTCCGTTTATGTCAATAGTGATTTCCGAGAGAATGGCAAGTTCATTGGCTCAGCTGGCCACACAGCACCGTCACAGGCGGGTGAGCAGTGCGCCCGCGTCCTCCGCCATGGCCGTCCGACATTTGCGCACCTTTCTCGCGCTGCTCGCACTTGTGCAAACCTCGTGCGCTCTAGTCGACGAAGTTATCGACGTGCTCAAACTGAGCAAAGAGGTCGCTGAAGACATTATAAACTCGTGGGATGTGGTCGGCAAACGTTTCAACGCGACCGACGGGGTGGAGCTGCCGTTCGTTAGGAGAGGAGAGCGACAGATCTTATCGCGTATCCGTGTTGTGTCGCGTTCGATCGAAAAGTTGGAGCTGCGGTTGCAGAAGAACAGTGCTGTGTCGATGTTGTTGAGTAAGAAAGTGGTTGCGGGACCGAGGTTGGAGTTGAGGTTGCACGAAATGTCGGATCTGCTCGGCCGGATTGCGGCCGCCAGCCGGCAGATGAGGGAATACGTGAGCCTGCAACGCGACCTCGAGAGGAGCACGCTGGAGAGTTTCGCCGAGTGGTGTGTTCTGCACGACCCGGGCGCATTGCCCGGATTGTTGGAACGAGTGCACGCGCTCGTTGACCCGCCCAACAAACATTTGCTGGGCAGGAACATATTGCAATTGGTCTTAGAGGACGTGCAGGTTTGTGAATCAATATACGTAAGTGTATACAATGTGTAACCAGAGACCACATTATTTGTGCCACATTGTTCTCCCGGATGAAAAACAGTGTAAACATAAAACGGCATGTGAAATAATGACTTAATGCGATATACAGTCAATTGCAATTTGTACATTAGGATTGCGTAGTCGAATGGCATAATCGGAAAGCATTTCTTGTCACGCTAGATGGGCAGACAGGAAGTACCTATACCAGTATACTTCTTGGCTTTCAATTAACTAATAATACATAATCATATTGATCTTTACAATCAATACAAATGATAATACGGGACGCGTTGAAGAACTCTCGGCGATTTTACTTGATGTATTGCATCGTGTGATTTTATTCATCCGTCTGCACTCGACTAATATGAGGTCATTTGTCAATTCGTATTTAAGGCTATTGAGCTCAACAATATCCGTTTATTGTCTGTATTTGTATGAACAGACGAATTTAAGTTTAAAACTAATATTACAAACTAGTTTCTTCTTTGTTACGTTAATGTTTTAAAACTAGTTTTAAAGTAACAATCAATTTAATAATGTTATGTATAGCTTTATATTTAGTGATGTAACTTTAGCCGATAGACGCACTCAAGTTAGATAGCTGAGAAATGGTAAAACCAGCATACAGTGGACCCCCGGTAGTCCGACAATCATTTTGCAGGGCAGTGTCGGACTATTGAATTTGTCGGATTATAGAGTACTGCCTAAGACCCCTTATAGTCCGGAATTTTTTACAAAAGAGTATCTTGTAATCCGACAAATTACAGATCCAGTGATAAGATTCTATGTTATATATATATGTATGTATATGTACTCTGAAGTATATTGTCAAAGTAATATTCAATAACAAATAATAGACAATGTCGGATTACAAGGGGGGCCGGATTAGACAGGGGCCGGATTACCGCGGGTCCACTGTACTTATTTGAGATTTTCTAATGTTTATAATTTAAAATAAAAAAAAAAGTTATAAATTAAAAATATAGCTATTTGATGATTATGATTCAATTTAAGAAATAGCAGTGTGTTTGCATATTATTGACTGGATACATTTGGGCCATAAACTTTCTCAGAAACTGACCTCTATGACTCATGAACATCATCGTCACATTGAGGTCACACTGCGTTTGCTTATACGGGATTGTTACTCGGAAACCATTCTTGATATTATAGTAACTTTCATACACATTAGAGCATATTTAAAACTATAACTTCAATGGGAAAAGGAGCTAATGGTACATAAACAGAATCACTGCGGTCTCAGAATGTCATACCTACGTATCTTGTAATTTCACAGTCATATTCCTCCACGAAACTTACTCTAAAGGTCTTTTTTTTCGTACTCTAATGCTGTTGGCCACAGGTGGCCTTTACAGCTTCACCGGACGATAGGGGGCGAGTGCAGCTGCCACTCTAAACCCGCGGAAGGGTTTATGGTGTGATATGTATGGAAACTATAATAAACATAATTCGGACAACCTCGGTGGTCTAGCGGTTTAGCACACCACCTAACTTCCGATGGTCGCGGGTTCGATTCCACGCACGGCACAAACATTTGTATTCATGAGTATTTGTTTGTATCGGTCTGGGTGTTTTCTATGTAAAATATGTCTGTATTTACGAAAAATAACTATGTATTTGTATTATTTATCTAGTACCCATAACACAACCATTAGCTAGCTTAAATTGGGTCTAGAGGGCGCTGTGTGAATTGTCCTGATATTATTATTAAGTTACAAATATCTAGTAATATGACTCAAACAAATACGCTACGCATAAACTATTCGAAAATCATACATTGTGAAATGAATCTATGGCCATTACTATAGATGTTATTTTACTATGTATAAGTTGATGGTTATGAGTTCAAAATCCCCGGAGGGGCTGTGATAAAGGCGCGTGAAACATATTGTTGTTGCTAATGTTGTGTTATGAGTCAGCGGGTCAATTAACTCTCAACTCCACGATCTGTCAAGGCAGAGCAGACACCCTACATCCTTAGTAGATTGTCGCTCCCTCTCTACACACAAATTATGTAACTCTCAAATATGTAACACTATCTGACCTGCGCAACTTCGTCTGCATTACACTTATTTGACATTTATCATACTAGCTATACGCCCCGGCTTCGAACGGATCTACGTTCCTCTTGAATCACACTATCTATTAAAAAAAACTGCTTCAAAATGCATGACGTAGTTTTAAAGATTTAAGCATATATAGGGACGAGCAGACAGCGACCGCGACTTTCTTTTATACTATGTAATATTCTGATGTACAAGCTGCAGTAATATACTGTATAATTTAATTAAAATCCAATATAAATGAAATTGGAGTGTCTGTTTGTAATATTGAAATAACAATTATTTACTACATGCATATGAATATAAATATGGTACATATACCAAAATAACATTTATTACAATTATTGTCTGTCTGTATGTTTGTCTGTTCCGGATAATCTCTGAAATGGCTGGACCGATTTTGACGGCGACATTTTTCGGCAGGAAGCTGATGTAATAAGAATTAACTTAGTCTACTTTTATTTTAGAAAAATAAAGTTAAATTCCAAACGGACGAAGTCGCGAATACAGCTAGCATATAATAAAATTCTTAATAGAAAATACGATGTAAATGTGAGGCATACAACTATATGGGCAGTACGTCAGCAATACCTATCTACTGAACAATGCACAATTTCGTGACTAATTGTCACTGGACCTCGTATTTCAGATGAGTGTTTATGACAAACTTGAACTGTGCAGTAGTAGAATATCCAAGCAGATCAGATGTAATGTATGCAGGAACTTTTTTTATGCCGTTGAATTATAAAATTATTTAAAAAAATTAGTAAAGCCTATATTTACATATAGGCTTTACTAATTTTTCTATATCTATATAACTACCTATACCTGCGACTTCGTCCGCGTGGAATTTAACAAAAAAGTTAATTTGTCAATTTTTCTATAATAAAAATAGCCTAAGTTACTGCTTATTACATCAGCTACCTACCAATAAAGGTCCCGTCAAAATCGGTCCACCCATTTCGGAGATTAGACGGAACAATCAGACAGACAGACAAAAATTGTAAAAAATGTTATTTTGGTCTATCTACCGTATTTATATTCATGCATGTAGTAAAAAACGGTTATTTCAATATTACAAACAGACACTCCAATTTTATTTATATGTATAATTGTGCACGTAGTATACATTAATTAGATATATAATATCATAATGAATAAATAAATACATAAATGCTAAATATACATAAATATAATACAATACAGTTATTACGTATTTTGATGACTCAAGAGAAAGTTACGAGAGCTATAGTATGTTTTTGTTATTATATATTGTGAGTGCGGTCGGTTTGGAAATAAATAAATAATAGACACCCACCGAGGTACACACTGTCATGTCCGACTCAACGAAATGACAATCAATAATGTTGCCCTTGCAGCTAGACTATCTCGCGCAGAATTTATCTTGAAATCCTGTCTGTACATATAATTTTCACCGGTACCGTCACGATAGTAGCGACCACTCTGTCAAGACTGTACATTTTTTTTCGGACTACTCTATCGCTGTTGGCCGCAACTAGCCTTTACAGCTCCAAACCCCGGAAGGACTTATGCTGCTAAAGGTCAACTCCCGCCTGACGGATACGACTTTAGTCTGAGTCCGTTAGGTGTTTGAACCTCGGCTCAGATCGTCGTAATTTCGATCCCCGTTTGAATTGGACGGGAGATCGATCGGAGGGGAAAAAGAACAAGATTATTATATAGTTTTCGTAAATCGTTACAAATAAAAGTAGGAATGTTTGTAATGCTTTTACGCAAAAACTACTAAACCGATCATCATGAAATTTTGTACACAAGTTCATGAATTTATTACAATGTACATAGAATAGAAAAAAAAACAAATATTTATCATAAAAAAAAAAGTAAAATAAAATATCAACATTATGCAACTTCAGCACCATCTAGCAGCTGAATAATGGATTCAATGCGAGCGACGCCGCGGGTAAAAGCTAGTAACTTATATATTTTTTAAATAATCGTTTATGTATTGGTACATTATTATTTCATCGCTTCGGTCCATTACGGCTCACATATACACATATAATGAGGCTGTTGGCTGTTCATTCTGTCAGTGTAAGCGGTGCGCAGGTCAAATGTGATAACACCGTACAGATTGAAGTCTCGTGAATGATTGCTTTGATAAATACGAAATAATTATTTATTTACTTACATTAAGCTAGCTTTATAGTTTCTCAATATGCCCACTTAGGAAAATTATGGTACCTACGTATCTTGATAGTATAGAACAGGATAGGCGGACCAATGGGACGCGGGGGAAGGGGATTGTTAGCAATGGGAACTAGTAACTCCCATTGCTAGCAATGTACCAACCATGTTAGATCGACCTCCAAGTGGTTCTACTTGGAAACCATCGTGATGAATTCCTGGTGAATTTGTCACGATGGGCTAACTGACCTGACCTCATGCTCATCTTATCTTCCTCCACTCGTGCCCCGCCAGCGTAAACCGTTAGCGCGGGTGGGTGCACCATTCCATTATAATCCTCTAAAAAAAAAACCAATGGGACGCGGGGGGAAGGGGATTGTTAGCAATGGGAACTAGTAACTCCCATTGTAGCAATGTACCATGTTAGGTCGACCTCCAAGTGGTTCTACTTGGAAACCATCGTGATGAATTCTTGGTGAATTTGTCACGATGGGCTAACTGACCTAACCTCATGCTCATCTTATCTTCCTCCACTCGTGCCCCGCTAGCGTAAACCGTTAGCGCGGGTGGGTGCACCATTCCATTATCATACAAACTCGGTTAGAACCCGTTTCACAGATGAATCCAGTTCCGCATGCATTTTGTTAAAAGTAACATCGTACAAGCCTGACATAAATTATTTGTCATCTAACCTGCAGCAACAGAAGTCACACAAATTTTACA